GTAAGATTTTTAGATTGTCAATTCTTAATCATATGAATATCAAATGTTAGATCTGAATTTTTCATTAATACTTATAACTTAGATTCAAATAAATATAGGCATGATTAAATAATAAGATTTATAATATAGAAAACAACTACAAAATATGTAATTTTATATGGCCTCTCATTTATCTTAAGATTCTTTTATTAATAATTTCAACTTTATCTATTGCATTTAAGGAAACTTCCTTGATATTTTTTAGGGCTTTTTTTGACTTAACAATTTTGAGATCAAAACTTTAGCATAGATTCTAATCATAATATTACTTAGATACTGATCACAAAAACTGGTAAATCAGACTTTAACCCACAGGATTCATTTTTAAAAATAATACCACTATTCTCAAATACAATTGACACTCTATTTTTAATTAGATTTAAGTCAGTATCTTACAATATAGTAACCATTATATTTTTGATTAATATTGACAGAGGTGCGTAATTTGGATAATTTACGAATACATCAAATCAAATTTATTTAACTTAATAAATCCTTTTTAATCTACGCTTAGAAGGAGAGAAACCTCATTTCCTAAATTATTGTTTCACACTTCATACTTAATTCTAAGTCAATAATACTTATTCAAAAGATAATAAGTCAAATTCTTATTTATAATATCGTTCTAAATTTATTCTATTTTAATCAATCTTTCTCGTGTATTATTCACATCTTGATTCAATAATTATTTATTTATTAATTTCAAATTATTAGTTAACTTATAATAATTTATTAATTCCTCTTACTGAATATCTTATTGTTAAAATTTTAATTTCTCTTAATTTCTTTATCCAAGACAAATAATTTTAGAAAAAAAATTATAGTTATTAATAATATAATTATTAGTTTATTCAAAAACCATTATTTATGAGTTTAATCTTTTATTAATGATGATAATTATATAAATAAGTATTTTTCTACATTTAATTTTTTAATGTTTCTTTTTTGATAACAATTAGTTTTTATAATTAATTTCAATATTAGTTGTTGTTTGTATTCTTTTTCCAAAATTAATTAAAAAAAATAAAATATGTCCATTTATTATAATCTTTTAACAATTATTTTTCTTAAATGTAATTAACTATTTATGATTTGGGCAAACAGCTTAAATTATGGTTAAGATAACTTAAAGTTACCTAAAGTCTAATTTTAAATAGGATTATTATATTAAGAATTATTATG